GTCAATTGATCCATCCATCATTCATTGGCCTCTGCATCTACCTATGCACTAATCTGTCCACCTATCATTCATTGGTTCCTGCATCCATCCACCCATTCATCCATCATTGGTCCCTGCATAGATCCATCTATTCATCATTCATCAGACCCTTCATCCATCCATCCATCCATCATTTCTTGATCCAATCATCTGTCCATCCATTCATCCACCCATCATTCATTGGTCCCTGCATCTATCCATCCTTCCATCCATCCATCTATCCATCCATCATTCATCAGTCCCTGCATCAATGCATCTATCTCTTATTTTATTCCTTCCTTCATCTGCATACTTATCGTATGTGTCCATCTCACAGATATATCTACAGGTATAGATGCTTTTTTCTATTGTGAATCAAAGACCCTGCAGGTCAGAAGAATGGGGAATCCAAGGCTTACAAGTAAGGAACTTGCCTGAGGTGGGACAGATGGAGCTTGGCTCTGTTTCTCTCAGATCAGGGCTTCTCATTTTTCACTTTGGCTTCTTACTTGTCAGGTATCCTTTAAGATTAAAAATAATCCTTTGGGGGAACATGATGTACTTAGGTTGAGGGATGACTGTTGGAACGGGAGCTTAGAGCGCCTATCCCCGAGGCGACCACACAGTGTGGAGAGAGACAGACCCTTTAGAAGCTTCTGTGGGCCCATCCCCAGTGGCTGACATGAAAGGGTTATCCCTACACATTTCGATATTTGCAAAAAGCATGGGTTCTTTCAGATTCCAAAACTCATTTCCATGACAAAACTCTTAGGAAGAGAAGATGAAGGCCTGGCTTTTGCAGAACAATCTTCCAGCTGTAATGAGGACTGAAGATGGCAATGGAAAAGGAATTATAATTAGACTATGAAACGGGGAAAATTAATCTATTCCAGGCAGTGGGGTAAGAGGGTGTTCTGACGTTCATGGCAATCCTTAGGCTGCTGTTCCCCCTGCATTTCTTCTGCCCATTTTGAAGCATGCAGAAGGTTGTACAGTGTGTGAAATGATTTTTGGCTTAGGGACTGATAAATTGTGAGATGTAGGATTTCAGCCCATATGTCATCACTTTGTGTGTCTCTCTGGGAATGTGCAATGTGTGTTTGTGTTCACACTTACACATGTTCCAGTAGACAGTTGCAGGTATATGGTGTGTTTCTATGCCTGGCACCCTTCCTTTCCTGTATGTGTGGTGGGGATTGTGTGCCAGTCACACACAGAATAATATGTGCACCCTTCTGCTTGTGTTCTGTGCACAATAAGTATGGGACCTGTGAGACAGAACTTTGCATAGCATGGGTCCACACAAACCTGGGTCTGTGTCACATGTGTGTTCCCACACCCAGGCATACTGTATACACGATATACCTCTGCTCACCCCAGAATGCATAGGGTAGTGGTGTAGATGTGTTTTCCATCTGGTCTGTGCATGTATGGAGGAGAAGGTGGTCCTGCTGTCTAAGGGAAGAAGAGGTTATATGCCTCTTCTTACTCATTCCTTCTCTAGAAAGAGTCCTTCATGAGGAAGGGGCCTAGAGAGGAAACCCCAGGCCTTTGTGTCCTGAAGTCCAAGCCTTGAGGGAGCCCTAGAGCCCTCAGGGTCTACACCCATAAAATATCCTGTCTCTAAGAGTTCTCTGACCAGTGCAGCTCTAGCAGAGGTGTGCAGATTATTGGTCTCTCTTTGCATCAGTGCCTGTTCATAGCTATTCAGCCCCAACATGCTCTAGAGTGCTGTACTAGACACCCATGCCATCTGAATTGAGGCAGACCCAGGCCTTGCCTGAACACTCCACCAACCAAGTCCTTCCTTTAAGCCAAGGCAAGCTTCACTCTAGCATATGGCCGCTTTTTCTTAGATGTTGCTTGAATAACTGAGTGAATAAATAAACCTACTTGTGACACACTCTGGTGACCTCATGGGAGTCCACTGCCCCATTCTCTTGTCAGCCCCAAGAGCTGCTGCTAGCCTCCAGGGCCTCCTTTTCAAGGAGACCTCCTTTCCGTTTTAAAAATATTTTATTTATTATTATTATTATTTTGGTCTTTTAGAGACAGGGTCTTCCTGTAGCCCCAGCTGTCCTAGAACTCACTATGTAGACCAGGCTGGCCTTGAAGTCACAGAGATCCTCCTGCCTCTGCCTCTTGAGTGCTGAGATTAAAGGCATGCGCCACCACGCCCAGATTATTTATTATTTTTTATTTTAGGTGTATGAATGTATTGCCTGCATGTATATAAGTCTACCTGTGTCGTGCAATGCCTGTGGAGGTCAGAAGAGGGCATAGGATCCCCTGAAACTGGAGTTACAGAAGGTTGTTAGCTACCACATGGGTGTTGGGAATCGAACCTGGGTTGTCTCCAAGAACAGGGGGTGCTCTTAACTGCTGAGCCATCTCTCCAGCCCTGAGGCCTTCTTTTCTAAGACTCCCTCTCTGAGTCTTGAGCACACTTGTCAAGCATCTTCTGTATGCTGGACTCTGGGCTGATTGTTGATGACATGGAAGGATCTAGAAAAGCCTTGGTGTTTGCTATCGGGGAGCTTGCAGCATGGTGGGGGAGAAGCCTGACAAAGAGAACAAATAGTGCTTGAGCATAGTCTCTCTCCCATTGAGTGACTTACTCTCTTCCCTGTTTCCTTGGCTTTTAATGGGGGAAATAGGACCATTGAGAAGGGTAAATGAGATCTTCAATATAAGGCATGTCACTCAGAGCCAGGGATGGTTTATTCATTTGCCACATTTTTTTTAATCACTTGCCCACTCTGCATATCTGGGAACAAAGATGACAGGCCCTTTCTTTCTTGCTGACTTCAATCTAGCCGTTGCACAAGGCTTGGGAGACATCTTACAGTCTACTTTCCTGTTATCTATTGTCATATGCCTAACTGCTACTGCTTTAGAAAATGCTTCAGATACCTGGTTAAGCTTATTTCCTCCTTCACAGGTAGCATGAGATGATCCCTGGGAGCCTTTGGTATGGTAGGGGAATCCAGCTTGGGCAGTGAACATGGCAGAGTGCTAGGAGGTTGCAGGCTGTGGAACAGAGAACAAGATGGTGCTGGGGGAGGCTGGCTCTCTGAGTCCACAGAGGTGGGGCTAGCCTTTGAGAAGCTTGCTGTGCAGTGCGCTGAGGGAAGACCTTGGACTGACATCTATCTGCATGTCTGGTGAAGTGTAGAGTTCCATGACAGGGCTTGTTGAGGTTTACCAAAATAATTTGTGTGTTTGCACAACTGTACTCAAACAAATTAGTCCCATAGAGAAACTCATATCCCTGCACAACAATGAATAAACAAAAATATCCATGGAGTAATGTTGGAATAGCAAAAGAGAGAACAAGTGCATTGGCCCACGAATGTGCTCAGTTAGTTGAGCGTTTGTATTGCCATCTTACTATGGAATTCTGGGTACCAGGAGAAACAGTTACACTCGGATAGAGAGCACTTTCCAAGATATGTTGCTCTTCAGGAAAATGAGACACAAGACGGGATATGTGGAGTGTTATCATTTGGAGGAAGAAGTGACTGTACAATGCGCACCAGTAGACCAGCTTGGACAGGGCCTGACGACTGGGTGGGGCCAGCCCGTGCCCGGGAGGCCAAGTAGGACAGAAACCATTGCATTGCTTTTTCTTCTTTCAGAACTTTCTTCCATGTGAACATATCTTAAGAAATTGTTTAATTAAAACAGAATGACCTGTTTGCCCACCTGTTGTGAGCAGTGGCTACAAATGGTCTTAGGCAGGTACAGTCCTCTTAAATTCTTGACTCTGGCTCAGTGGGGGCCATCTTGTTCAGAAGGTTGTGGTCACCCTACATCTCCTAATGGCAGGCTACACCAGTGGCTGATATATGTGGACTATGAAAGGCCACCCCTTACTTCATGTTAGAACTGACTCTGCAGTGCATTTCATGTCTCAGAGCTATGATAAGATGAGGCTGAAGTCAGTGTTCTTGCTTAGTTCCAGCCAATGTCCTGTCCTGTCCCCTCTAACCCCTAGAGGGTCATTCCTAAAGATCACTCCCTCAAAAATATGCATTTGAACCCTTGCTTCAGGCTCTGCTTCCAGGGAACTCTGTAAAGACACCCTTTTCCCAAGCCCGAGACATAGTGACATGTTGAGTCAGGTGCTCTAAACTGTAATAAGTCTATGAAGAGGGGACTAGCAACATAGCCCCTCCATTGACAGATAAGGAGCCTCAGAAGTTAGGTACCTGCTGAAGATCACGTATCAGAGGCAAGGGGTAGCCTCTGTCCAGGACCCATGTTTCTTTCCCTGTACCTGTTCCCCATGGTGGGCACTTCTTCCTGAATCCAGAGGTGGCAGCTTTCCAACACAGGATTGTAGTGCCCCTCTGGTTTCCACCACAGTCCTCATGTCCATGGTCATGGCCTTAGGGGCTAAAATGGGGCAGGGGAGGAGAAAGCTGTTTTGGATAGCAAGACATGGAGGGCATGTCTGGGGCAGGCTGTCCTGACCCCAAGGCAATGAAGACCTTGGCCCTTCCCTGGCACATGGAATTCTGGCTCTAGCTGATTGCCTTGTTCACTTTGGCCAAGAGACTCACTTGCATACTTGCAGGGGTGAGAGACTCAGTGCCTGACGAGCCACTGTGCTGTGTCAGTGGCCAAAGTATGGATGGCAGAAAGGATTTCCTGTCTGTTCTACATGTGACCAGTGGTACTAACCTGGGTTCTCAAGGGCCACCTTTTCCAACCTGGAAAGGCCTTGCTAGAATGGGGCCTTGGGTATCCAGGGCTCCTGCAGGCCTCTCAGCCCGCCCCCCCTCAGCACAGTCCCCTGAACTCCTCACATTGTGTGTCCTGGTGCTCTCCAAGAATATTTTAATCAGAACCACCTCTCTCCCCTGCAGGCCTCTCAGCCCGCCCCCCCCTCAGCACAGTCCCCTGAACTCCTCATATTGTGTGTCCTGGTGCTCTCCAAGAATATTTTAATCAGAACCACCTCTCTCTCTGTGTTCTAGTTTGATGGTGAGAGTACCTACGTGGGGATGAGTGACGGAAACCCAGAACTCCTATCAACCAGCCAGGTGAGTGCCCCTCCTCCCTGAGTGGGCGTCTGAGCCTGGGGCTGGTGGAGCCGAGCTGCTCCAGAGGTAGGAGGTCTGGAGAGGTTTGGGGCATGGCCCACTACTATTCCCTCAGAATGTTCAAGAATACCAGTTGAGTCCTTTCTAGGTGCAACCAAGGCAGAACTACAGTGTTGACTGTAAATTAAGCCCCTAGCTACTGTGGGGCATCGCCGGGAACTTAATACTCCAAGTGCATTGTCCACATTCCCTGTGTGAGACAGATTTCAGCAATACCTAGTTGAGGTCTCCCGTGCTCTCTGCATAACTGCCTCCTGCACAGCACCTATGGGGACACCTGATATGAGTACGTGTGTGCCCCCACACAAGTGAGCACATTCTCCCCCTCACAGGGAATCTGCTGCCTGAGGTCACTAAGGAAGCTTGTGGACATGGCACAGAGAGCAAAGGCTTCCTGCCAAGTCCTCCCTGGTGACAAAGGCCTCTGAGGTCATAGATGGAACCAGATTTTTCACATAGTAGAGCATTAACTATCTCTCAATGGAGAACATCCTTGCTACCAATTGTAACCCTGGGGAAGGTCCTCACTACAGGTTATGACCCCAAAGAGGGTCCTCACTACAGTATGTGCCTATAGGGTGGGTATCCACTGTAGGCGGTCTTCTTTATAAGATCATAAGGGGGTCCTCACTGCAGGTGTGACTATAGGGGGATCCTAACTGTAGGCCATGACCTCACTGAAGTCTGTGACCCCAGGGAGATTCTTCACTACAGGCTGTGACCCTGGGGAGGGTTCTTACTACAGAGTGTGAGTGACCCCGAGGAGGTCCTCACTGCATGCTGTGGCCACACAGAAGATGGCATCCTAAGGCAGTAGAACCTGCAAGGTGATACCAGCTCAGGGTGCTGGGTGGGGCCAAGGAGTACAGAGCTGCTGGGAACTCTGGGCAGCTGGAGGGCAAGCCTGGTCCTGTACCTGACTTCTACCCTTGGTCCAGGCAACCCAAGTTGGCTGGCCATTTGGCCATCGTGCTGGGCTCATATTTTTCAGCTGGAGAAACCAAAGGACTATTAATTAACAGGCATATTGTATCTTTGTGACAGGTTCCATGGGGCCATAAATGAGTAAGCTATGGGCCTGTGGCTGGTGGAGAACTCTGCCAGTGAGGAAGATATTGTGGTCTCCGTGGGATGGCTTTAGGGCCTTGTACTCGGTTCCCTGCCACAGCAAGGGCACTTATACTGGGGCGCCATACCTTGCCCCGTCTCCTGTCTGCCCCTGTCTGAGTACTGTGTTGTTGCTGCAAAGCTGCCTTGCTGTTGCTTAACATGTGCCAGCCTACAAGAATGGTGGGCAAGACTCCAGGTCCTGGGAGTGTCTACTGACATTACTTAATTATCCATCATTGCCTCAAAAATATGGTCATCCCAGAAGACCAGGGCTTACTCTCGAACATCTCTGAGCCTTTCATGAGTCTGCGTTGCATTTTTTCACCATGTTGCACCCTTGCTTCAGAGCCATGCTGTGGCAAAACAGGTTCTCTCTCTAACCCCAATGGGCAGTGTTAGTGTGCTCTTTCCATCAAGAAGGTAAAGTGGGACTTGGGGCTCTGTGTTAGGCAGAGGGAACATCGTCCTTGAGAGGATGCTCAAAGCAAACACGTATCGTCTGCCCCCAAGCCATTAAGAGTGACAGCCTGCACCGTCTGCCCCATACTGCAGTGCCCCCCTCAGCACTGTTGCAGCTGATCCTCCCAGAAGCTTTGAGAATAAGTGGACATTACCACCGAGTCCATTTATAAACAAATCACTGCGGTTGACCCACTCAGCCAGGAGCTCGCCCAGAGCCTCACACTTGCTCTGCCTATGGAGCACCTTGTTCCTACCCTAAAGCTGCCACCAACTTGCTTGCCCTAAATGTCCTTTCCTTGGAGAGCTCTTTGTGACCTCCAAATCCAAATTAGGTCTTTCCCCATGATTGTCTGACATGGTACCAGTTAGCTTTAATTCATGGCTCTCACGATCTAGGTAGGTGTGACATGACTTGGCTAGTCTTTGATTTACACACTAGACTATGATCTCCACAGTGGAGAGATCTGATCCTTAACTGCTGTATTATACTCCATAGGGTGCAGTGTCTGCCCAACAGTAGAACAAGGTGGTTGGACTTCTTGAGGATCCTTCTAGATCTTTTTTACTGTCACCAGTGGGTCTCCCTAACTTAAGACTTTGTGAAGAACACATTAGAAGCTGGGCATAGAAATGCACACCTGGAAACCCAGCATTCAGGAAGCTGAGGCAGGAAGATTGTTTGAGCCCAGCCTTGGGTGCATAGTGAGACCAAAGTCAGATCAAGTAGCATAGTAATACTCTGAGTCAAAAGATAATAATAATTAGAATTCTCTGAGATTAACCAAGTCTGGCCAGTAGTATGATCCAAATACCAGCAATTGCAAATGCAGTCCAGACTTGTCAAAGTGCTGCATAAGAAATGCCTCAAAGTGTAGTAGCTTCAAGCAACAGGTATTTAAGTCGTGCATGGTTGCATGGGTTGGCACCTTGGCTGGGCTCAGCTTGTGGCTGGCTGTTCCTGCCTAGAATCTCTGGAAAGACAGACAGCAGTAAGCTCTTAAGGAGCTCCCAGGAGCTCCCCCTCACTACCAACAGGTTAGCCTGAGGCTGTTCTCAGGGTGGGGACAAAGTTTCCAGAGCAGCAAGGGCAGAAGCTGCCAGACCTCTTGAGACCTAGACGTCACTACTTCCAACTCCATCCTGTGGTCAAAGCCAATTACAGGCAGGTATAGAATCAAGGAATGGAAAAATAGATGCCAGCTCTTGAAGAGAGGACCAGCAAGCACTGTAGCCACACACGGGAGATAGGACATGAGGTTCATGCTGATCTTGCTGAATAATTAACTCAGGCTCTTCTACTGCCCTCCTGGCTTGGTGGGACTCTACTGGCCTCTGGTCTTTAATGGCAAGAATGCTGTATATTTCCTTTTCTATTCCTGAATCTCTACTTGAACACACACACACACACACACACACACACACACACACACACACATACACACACACACACGTTGTCTTATTAACTGCAGGGATCTAAATGCCCTAGTTACTGTGCGACCCACATGAACATGACCAAAATGAAGGTCTCAGAAGCTTCCAGGACTAAACCCTCTAAATACCATAGAATATATTTTGTAAATATATCTTGCAAGTACATTTAAATACCAGGTTCACCCTTGTAGCAAGGTGTATTGGGCCCCTTATGATTCAAAAGCTCTGGATATGGATAGGGAGCCCTTTCTGGCAAGCACTGGCTTCCAGGCTGTCCAATTTTATCAACACTTCTCCTGAAACATCATTTTCTTTGCTTAGAAACTGCAGCCTAGACCCATGCTCCCATAGATGTGTGTCAGCCAACTGGGTCCCTTTCTAACAATTTCCAAACCAGATCTTAAAGGCTTGAAGTTGCTTTTGCAAACGCATGCTCTATTGTTTGTTTGCTTGCTTGTTGTCAAAATCGCCACAAAATTTCTGCATCGCTACCTTAGTTTTTGTAAATTATCACTCCATCCCCTAGACCTTGTGTTTCTTTGGTATTAGACTTGCCTGAGTGGCCTGAGAATGAGTTTTCAGGCAGGGCCACAGCCCCAGCTGCAGCCTCAGGGATCAGCCTGATAGAGACCAGCTCTCCCTGCTGAGAGCTGACCCTGTCTTGAAGCTGCAGGGATTGCTATTTCCTGGGTTTTGTGACCCAGGAAGGAGACTCTACCTGGGAAGGGCTTAAGCACCCACCATTTACATCCTTGCTCTTCCATGCTCCAGTGTGGACCAGGTACCCTTATGCAAGTGATGTCAGCTCCCTACTGGACAGGAAGAACAACACCTGCCCCTGGGGATGCTGGGAGAAGTAAACGAGATGGGGCTGTGGGTTCTGGTGGCACTTCATCAGATTCTCTTTGGTAGTCTAAGACGCCCAGGTCTAGCTGCTGTGACTCTTCCCTTGTGGAAATTAGCCTCTGACAAACGGCAACCATGAACTGGGGGAAATGGGGTGGTCAGAAATTCAACTGCATTTTTTTCAAAGGGTGACCATCTCTCCAGATTCCCTGTGTAGCTGCAGCCAAGGCTGCATCACGGCCCAGTCCCTGCCCTCCCTGTCTTGCCAGGTGTATCCCCTTCCTTCCTGTGCTGAGTCCCCTCCGATGAAGCCCCATCTGAAGCTCTTCTTCAAGTGAATCTAAAGTAAGAGCGTGTACAAATTGGCACCAGCGTTCAGAGAAATTAGCGATGACTTATTTCTATTGTCTTATTACCATAAAGAATGCTTTGGTCACACAGATGAGCCTCTGGCCACCTCTGTGTTAGTATAAACACCGTTTCCTCTATGGAAACCCCCTAGGCATTTCCCCCCAACAAATGCCAGTCTCTTCCAAGGTACCACAGATGTCAATGCTTCGTGATGCCTTCCTGACTGTGGGTAGTTTTCCACTCTTGTGGCTCTAGATACGATTTATGTGAAAGATCTCGGGATCTCATGTGTGTATATAAAACAGAGTCAGGGGTAAGTGGATTGGGGTTGATGCCATGATGGGATCTTCGGCTTTCACAGCATGAGTGGGTACACAGACACCCGTAGGAGGGTGTGGTTTAGGCATGTGAAGGATCATCTGGTCCTAGACGGAGATGAAGTAGATGTGGCCTTGGAAATCAAGTTAGCAGGTTTTGAGGGTGATGCATGAAGACAAAGAGGGAAGGAGTGATGGATGACTCCAGGCTCCACCATGGCGGTACTCTCTTCTCGGCCTTGGGGAGGAGCAGACTCCATGAGGTCAGGCTTGGGCATGTGACATTTCAGATGCTTGTCTAAGAGGGGATGGCCAGTAGTTAGGTGACTGTCTAGACTAGAGCTCATAGAAAATGTAAAGTGTAAGTTCTCAACCTGTGATTTGGAGCCCTGAGAATAGGTGAGATTTGTGCAAAGAGGGGTG